AATTCTGCTCTGAATTGTGGATTTGTACCAACTGCCTTCGTGCATAAAGATTATCGTGCATGTAAAATTTTCATGATAAAGACAGTTCGAGATACTTATTAAAAAGAATTATATCTACGCAACTGGATAACATTTTCACTTGACCTATTATTTTCCCAAACCTATTTCTCCATTATGCAAAAGGATCACGAGAAATAACTCTTACATTATAATGTGTGGATATTTATAATTCCTCTTGTTTATCTTATCTTGAGTTCTCCAGCTGCGAAAAGTTTCTGAAATTCTTGCATGCATTTTTTTATCATTATGATTATGATTATCAGTACGATTTTATATATATATATATATATATATATATATATATATATATATATATATATAGAGAGAGAGAGAGAGAGAGAGAGAGAGAGAGAGAGAGAGAGAGAGAGAGAGAGAGAGAGAGAGAGAGAGAGAGAGAGAGAGAGAGAGAGAGAGAGAGAGAACATTTTGGTACAAAATGTTTCACTTCTCTATGATCCAAAAGCTTTTTGTCATGTTGTTTTGGTAGCTGTTGCTCTGGCATTTCATCATCATCATCAGCAATATTTTAGCGTTAACATCGATTGTTTCTTGCTGGAGATATATCATAGGTTTTAGAGTTGTCCGATGTTTGGGTAACAAAGTAATCTACTTGTGTGTGCGAAACAAAATGTAAATGATTAGACTAGATGCATTGCATAACAACGAATGTAGTCTTTGAACTATGTTCATTGCATTACAGTGAATGAAGCCTTTTGACTACATGCGGTGCAATACAGTGAATCATTTTTACTATACGCATTGCATTGCAGTGATTACAGTATTTTACTATATGAATTACATTAGAGTGAATTGTCTTTGGACAATTTGCTTTGCATTGCGGTGAATAGTCTTTGTATGCATTGCATTACAGATAAGTCTTAGGACGATATTCATTGCATTACAGTAGACAGTCTTTGGACTGGATGATTTGCATTTCAGTGAATATTTTTTGACTATATGCATTATATTATAGTTAATAGGCTTTGACTATATGATTTATATTACAGTGATTAGTCTTTAGACAATATGCGTTGCACAAGAGTGAATAAGGTATTTTGACTGTATACATAGCACTACAGTGAATACTATTCGGAGTATATGCATTGCATGACCGTAAATACAATATTTTGACTACAAATATTACATTACAGTGAACAGTCTTTGGACTATATGCATTGCATTATAGTGAATACATTATTTTGACTGTATGCATTGTAATACAGTGATAGTCATTGGAGTAAATGCATTCCATTACAAAGAATACAATCTTTTAACTATATGTATTGCATTACATTGAGTAGTCTTGAACTATATGATTTGCATTGCAACTCATATAGTTAGGTATTATACTTGCTGCTGCTTTTAGGGTGTACAACGTGTCCGTTAATTTCAAATTATATCATTATTGCCTTTTATATAATATGTATCTAACAGTGAATGTTGTTATAATGTCTTTATGCTTTAACTTTTTTTCATTTCTTGACTTTTGTAATAACTAGCAATTTATATAGTGATGTCTGCAGTTCCAGTTTTGCGATATATATTTGGGAGGTCTTCACTAATTATATTTCTCATGCAACGAGAGACACGAGCACATGAATGGATCATACTTTCGTGTTCTACGTGCATATTTACGTTGATCCTGTAGTTATTTTCCTTGGAGTTTGTCAAGGCCAGATGATATCATCCGTTTGGAAAAGGAAACCAATCATCGGAGATTTTAAATAGGGCAATTTCAGAAACTAAAATGAAGCAAATTTAAAAGTCGATTTGAGGCACGCTCCTCTGAACCTTTTTTTTTGTAGCGTTGCAAACTATGCATGCGTGGCCCTCAAGGAATTATTATTTCAACATTTACAATTCGACGAACGTAAAAATCTGTCAAATTTTGGAGAATTCAGTTAATGCTTCAGTCTTGGCTTGAGTACATGCAAATGTTAAAAATTAAATGTAAATATCAACATAATGGGGAAAATAATGTTACTTTAAAACTAAAGATGTGAAAAGATACTACTTAAACGAAGCTGTTAAACATATCAATAAACCAAAGAACCAATGGAAGAAAGGATAGATTGTATGCTATCACCCAAATAACTTCAATGTAGTAACGTACTTACTTTTATTGCTGAAGTAGTTACGGAATTTACTAATAATATTGCAATGATATTTGGTGATCTCTAATGTAATTGGTTGGATATTGGAACAAGCTCTGACTCGTCACTACCGGATACTGAATCCTTGGCAAATGATACTTCCTTTCTACACCAAACAAAAAGGTTGTTAGAATGGAAATTATAGATCAGACTAATTCGAAAGCTACTCCCTTTGTTATCCTGTTGTTGAGGCTCTTAAAATATGATCAACAGACTATAGTGTTGAACTAAGATATTTTTTATGTTTATATGTACGATCACTTTTGTAGACGATTAAAAGTAATATAGGGGCTACTACCTCTCTACCTCTCTTATATAATGTCCTTGCTCCCTGAGGTTTGCAGCCTTATAGAAATACTAGTTTTCAATCCACTATATGATTTTCATTTCAAACGAAACTGATTACCCTACGATAATTATACGTGTGACCAAATCGTTCAGGCTAGACGACACTCACTGGATTAATTGTTCACTGGCTTAAAAACATTGCTGGTGGGAAACCGGATTAAGCTTTGTTTCCTTTGACATGTGTAAGTCTTTGGACATTATTTATACAGTTGAACTAGACATATTAACATCAAATAGTCCAAATATTTCATTGCAAAGGTTTTCACCTTGTCTTTTTATGTTGATTACAAACTATGAATTATAAAGATAAGGTCTTTGATTTACAGGACAATTTCATTGGAGTACCATAGACATCAATACTATGTCCTCTTCTTCATTTTTAATATATTAATGCATTTTACAAAATATTTAGAATATTCTTTAGTATCGATGTATGTAAATGTTACATTATAATGTGTTAGCAATATAGATACTTTTATTGCTGAGAGATAACTAATTGCAGATTGACAATTTTTTTTAAAAATGGATGCATGACAACACGAATGGCTTAAATTTACAGAAAATTGGTCACTGGTTATCTACACAGTACAGCTTACAGCTAAATGTAGAAAATTGAAGCTAGAAGTAAATGGTGTAAAAACTGTTAAAGATGCCAAAAATTTAAGTATGCTATTAGAAAATACATTATCTTGGTCCGATCACATTCAAACACTATTCATAAATATATCTAAGGACATGGGAATTTTAGAAAGAGTTATATGTCAAATGTGGGATTAGTTGAACCAAATGTATGCTAAAGAGAATTTATCCCATATTTTATATACGGCTGTATTCTGTGGGGAGAAACCTGAAATTCCAATTTTAGGCAGTTTACGTAAAAGAGCAATGTCGTGTATATTGTAATATCAAGATAATCTACTGTCAAAACTCTTAGATGGATGCCAATTAAAGAATATGTTATTGATAGGAAATATGTTCTTGCTTGTAATGTGCTAAATACTTTGACGCCAGAGTGTCTTAGAGATTTTCATTTAGTTTGCAAAAGATATTTTGCATAAGAAGTACATCGTAGAGAGCAAATATTTGTATTCATCAACCGTTTGGACTGGTCATTTGATGAAATTGTGTGCTTAAGGAAGTGCAGTTTTATGGAATATTTTGCAGCATCATAGTTGACTAAGAACCAAGTGCTTCTATTGCTTAGAAACTAGACCTCTGTAGATATTTCAATGAGCAATCCTGATTTTATGTAAATTGTAAATGTTAAATTTGATATACCTTTGTGGTGACTTATATCAGTATTGTATAATTATAATGTTGTGATTCTTTTTCTGAATATGCTAATTATGTTATCAAGGATAAATTAAAGGATATAATTATTATTTGCTCTATTCTTTATTCTGTTTGGAGTTTCAATTATTTTGGAAGAACCTGTTGTTGTTGTGGTGGTGGTGGTGCTTAACGCCATTTTTCATCATACGATATGCTATATATAGCGGCCAGAATTAATGCCGGAGAAAGAACCCGGAAAAACCACGGAAATAACCACCGACCCACGAGCAGCTACTGGCAAGGGTTTTCACATATCTACGTTGACTAAATCCGAGACACGAACCCACGCAGACAGAGGTGAGATGGCAGTGATCCGTAACGGACAGCGCTTTAGACAACTCGGCAGCTTGGGACCCCGTAAGAACCTATACCTCGCGCAATAGTTGATTTATTGAATATGATGACCAGAAGTGAAACTGTACGATCTTTCGAAACGCATAAATATATGACATGTGGGAAAACTTTAATGCAGCATTTCCAATATATCATCTACTTTAAATATCACTGGCTAAGACAGATAGTAGTATGTCATATAATTTTAATAATCACTAGACCAGCCAGACTATAACCTAGATTTACATTGCATTACATTAACCCTCTCATATAACAACGCTAAACAATAAGCTAAATATAAGCTGGAGCTTTGAGGTAAAATTATTATGACTACCAAAATTTGCAATTCAGGGGCACAATACAATTATCGTTCATCCTATGAAGGCACCGGCACCACAGTGTATATGTTCAGTTAAACCCAAAACAAATTACATGTGCATGCATACATATATACACACATATAAACACACTTATATACTTTGTACATAAGAATACATATGAATATAAATGTATGTGCATGAATATGTATGTGCATACCTATGTTAATTAATTTATACATATGTACGTATATAAAGAATGTACACCATTTTAAGTACGTACATAGATATATATGCAAATATACGTGCCCAGAATCATACGTACATGCATCCTTACATCCTTGGATACATTGATACATACATATATACACATACTTATTTGCATACACATACAAACATGAATGCTTGCATCTATTCATACACTCATACAAACAAATATTTATCGATCCATTGAACCGCTCCGGTGGTCTAGTGGTAGAGTATCCGCCTCAAATGCGTGAGGTCGCGGATTTGAACCCCGGCCGAGTCTACCAAAGTCTTTAAAATGGTTCTAACAGCTGCCTTGCTTGGCGTTCAGTATTAAGATGCTAGTGTTAGGACTGGTCGACTGGTGTCAGGATAATGTGACTGGGTGGGACATCGTGCTACATGCGTGCGACATGATGCCCCAGTGCTAAACATCACTATAAACTGTTACACTGCAGATATTGTAGAGATATTACTGAAAAAATTGTTTAAAGCTATGTTAAAGATCTAAATCATAACAAGACAACAAAACATCCATCCATTCATGCCTACATACATACATACATACATACATACATACATACATACATACATACATACATACATACATACATACATACATACATACATACATACATACATACATACATACGGTCGCCTTCGGGCCGTTCGCGAAGCTTGTACATATAAGACTAACTGCACATTTAGAAAGCACCGCTATTCGCATGCTAAAAACTGCGAAATATTTCCTGGACGTATCTCAATACTGTTATTTTATTTATTATAATGAATTCCTCCTTCTATCTACCAAATGGAATATATTGGTAGCAAGTATAAAGAAAAGTTCGGTTCTTCTTTTCTGAAAATGTGTTCTTCTTAGTACATTACCAGGACCTCATGACAATCACGCATGTAGCAAAGCCTTCATTTTTTCTAATGTATGTTTTCCACGTTTAAAGTATCGCGTGACTGATAATAATACTGATATGTCTCTTGTGTTATCTTTGCTGGTCTGGCGGGAAACAAAATATCCAAAACGTCACTACGTTTGATATCAAACAACTCACTCCGCCTTTCAAGAGGCTTCGTTGTTCTTAAGACCAAACGCATCTTAATATTATGTTTTGCTGACCTTCCATTTCTGAAAATTCATACACGTTTTAGGTATAAGTGTATTATCTTAGATAATTCACGTTTTAGGTATAAGTGTATTATCTTAGATAATTCACGTTTTAGGTATAAGTGTATTATCTTAGATAATTAAGTTTAAGTAAAGCATTTCGGTGTAATTCATTTGTTTTTTGTTTCCTTTTTACTTGGTTTTATGTGTGTATTTGGTTTGAATTTTTGTGCGGGGTTGTTAAGGGAAGAGGAGAAGGGGTCTTTCCGTCTTCAAAATTATAAATCGGAGACACAAACAGGCGTTTTTAAGCTCAAAGTCGAAAGTCATTAATGTACTCGAAGTACTCAAAAACAAACCTCTCATCTTTCAACATTTACAGACCATCAGCCCAACCCTCATACCCCTTTGTTATATCATATCATAGTCTTTATTTTTGTATGTATATATTAGGTTTTGAATGTATTCATTTCACTGTGTATCTATTCACGTTTAATATCATGATGATTCACATTGCAGTGTGAGTGTTGATAGAGTTGTATATTATGTTTAATATGCTATATGATTCACATTGTAAAATAAGTGGGAGAAGGAATGCCTATTATGTTATGAGGAATAAAATCCAAATCTATTACTAAGATATAAAATCTTATTAAACCTCTAAATTCCAGCTTATGGAGATATTAGTATAATGATCTTAGATTTAGTTGCAAATCTGGAAGAAATTACTTTTGTCTCATCGGAATTCATTTCACTAATATTTCTACAACAGATTAAATTGTAGTCAACTAAATGAATTTTAGCAGATAAGACATAGGAGATTTTTACATCAAGAATAAAAATGTGTATATTCGTTTTATTTCAATTGTATAATGGCATAAATGTTACATTCAATGTATTGATAAGTATTTAGTTTGGAATGCGGCATACATTCAGTTATTTTGTTTCTTGTAGTTTCATATAGTTAAGCCTTGGGTAGAAAATTAGCATATAATAGAAAGGTTACTACATTTGTATGGGCAAATATCAATTCCTTTTGTCGGATGGATATATTGCACTCCCAAGGTCATGTAGTATAGCAATCCGAAAACCTCGCTCATATTTTCCGATGCAAATGCAGTAACCTATATGTCAGAGAATAATGCTATAAATAATATGGTTTTGCCTTGAATCTATTTTCCCACCTTTTTACGTTGTACAGGCGAACAACGTTACCTGGGTTTAATCACTCTGCTCCAGGTAAAGCGATTTGGAAATTACATACGACGGAAAGTCACGGAAAAACATGAAACTGCCAAACCAATCCACACTAAAGACAGTTACAAGCAGCCTCAGACTATCAAACTTGATCAAGTCATGCTCGTTTCCCACCAACAAAGACCTTATTAAAGGATCATCTACCTGTAAGGAATCAGCACCAGAAAATTTGAAGTGATGTGCATATGAAATCAAACCCTGGTGCCACAACTGTCAATGGCAAAAAAGAATTTAAAAATTGAGATGAAGTGTAAATACTTTAGCAACCAGTTACTCTTCGACTTCAGTTCAGTAAATATCTGCTTTCCTTTATTCTGGCCTGATTCACTGGAAAGACCCCAGCAATACAGGTTATATAAAAAGCGTGCACAATTTTAATTCCGTAATCACACTAAAACCTATCAGCTTGAAAAATCGCTACACTGCTACGTGATACCAGCCTAAGCAACAGAGATCTACAAACATGCAGTGCAAGTTCGTAACTTGTGTGGGACAAAATAAAGACACAGAATACACGGCATGGTTACCGAGCCTGACTCGATCGCTAGGCTTTGGATAAAGGACATATCAATAAAAAACAATTTTTTCATGGCATACGCAATGTACCTACCTATCATTAGAAATATTAGTAACATCTGTCAGTGTGCAACGTTATTACATGTACCTCAATCAAAATTATGGATGATGTTGCTCGGTGATTCAGGACGTCTCACCGTCAAGGTATTGATTCTTGTTCTAATGTCTCTTTCTCTAGTTCGTAATTAAAAGCTGAGTATGTTCTCGATTCTACACAGATTTGAAAACAAATGTACACAGAAATGGGTAAGCATGAAAATGAAGGGTATGCAACTTATCAATCTCATTTTAGACACATATTGTCCAAACTTTATGAACTATGACGTTGCTATGCAAAATGAATCCAACCTTGCAGTAACTAGACTGTGAGCAGCATTTTCGTGAATTAATAATATACCTGACTGTGAAAATCAACTTATTTGGAACACGAGAATGATTCTAAAGCAAGGTAGTAACAATCGTAGTGCAAATATCAGACTTCGTAATCTACAGCAAAGGTAGTTTAGAGATATCCACCCTCGAATCAATATTGATCTAATATTTTCACACAAACACATACACAACTCTAACTATATGATAGAGCTCCAGACACACGGGCAATAAATATGACTGGCCACGCAAAGTCTCTCTCTCTCTCTCTCTCTCTCTCTCTCTCTCTCTCTCTCTCTCTCTCTCTCTCTCTCTCTCTCTCTCTCTCTCTCTCTCTCTCGTGCTACTGCAAGGCTGATAAAGCCATAATATGTTGTCAACTGGTTTCTTACAACTTTGTCAAACACTATCAATCAGCCCACAGTTAAATTAATCATAATAATGCGATTGCAAGTAAACACTGTTGCACTTACCAACCAGAATGGTTCATTGGTTACTCCACATAATATTTCAAGGAAAGATTTCAAAGTATCGTATCGTTGCACTAGTGAAATTAGCATATGCCATATTAACTGGAGAGAAAATATAAATTTCCAAGAAACACATGAATTGGAAATTTCCTGATGTCACTATAAACTTCATAAGAACTGTACTCTCTACCTATGGTGCATTGTACGGATTCTTACCATTGCCTACCATAGAATATTCTCCAAATTAGAAGTGATGCAAGTTAAATTCTAGCTGTAGAAAAGATAATATTTATTGTTAATTTTGTGACATGAATCGATTAAATGTGACAACAAATAATACCAAATGTTTAATATTTCTATTTTCTCATGTGAAAAACTTGTATGCTTAGAGTCCACGATTGATCCCATAGTCCTCATTACTATATTCGTCTTAATGCGAAGTATTTGAGAAAAAAAAAACAAAATGATGTGGTTCAAGACTCATTGAGCAATACGTCTAGCACATAACAACCATAACTTTCATTGACATTTTTCATTTTCTAACAGATACATATATAGATAGACTTCAATTTAGATAGTTATTCAGATTTTCATAAAAGATTACGAAACCTGTTGACCTTTATGTAAAGTGTAAAGCAATAATATTTTTTGATAAATACTGGGTTTGAATCCGCTAAATAAATTGCATCGGTGCATGAATATTTTACTTGAGTTGGAAAATATTGGGTGAGAAAAATAATATACTTTAGTGTTTGTACCAAAACAATAAAATAGCTGTCACGTGGTTACTTTATATTTCTCCAAACTTGGCGTAGCCTGGTGGAGAGACAGATAATATAACTCCTTGACTGGGATTTTGTCGTTTCGGTCCCAGCCCAAATATAGATTATAGTAATCTTTGCCATTCGTTGTTGAATAATAGAAAAATTAAACGTCATCAATCTTTAATCATTAAGGCAGCTTAGACTCCCTTATCCCTTTTTCTTGTTTTTTCCTTTTTCAAGTCATGCGTCTGGAATCAAGCCAGTGTTAACTACTTGGCTTTGAAAAGAAACTTAGATAAGAATATGTATATTAGAAGAAAGTCTGATATATTTGTTTAAGATGATATCGTATGACACATTTGTTGATCTGAAGACCTTAAACCAAAAGAATTCTCTATAATACGGCTTTAAGAAATTCTCCGTTTACATTTATTGTAATATATGTATTTATAACATCTTCAGAATCAGTTATTTTTAATCTACGTTGTCAATACAAATTCATAGAGGTCTTTGAGTTTGATATATAGACATAAACATCATAATCTGATAGATAATTTTGAATTAAAGCTCAGCATCTATTGGTCAAATATCCTTTAGCCAGTTGGAATTTCTAAAACCTTAATGACTGAGGCTTAAACTGATAAAAAGCTCCAGAAAAGTTGATTTTAAATTTACAAGTCAAACTGAAGTTTTCTGAAATATTTCAGAGACATTCTTATCATGGATG